AGTACAATAATATAATATTTTAAAAGAGGAGGAAAAAGAAAAGATAGGAGAACATAACAAATCACGTAAGTAGAGGAGACGAGGATAAAAACATGACAAACAAAAAATTGGGCCGACCCAAAGCTTATGTGTGATGTGTATTATTTGGGCCATTGGTGGCCCACTACGCACTATACATTGCAACAGTGTAGAGGCCCATATCCACTGATAATTTTCCCTTAATAGAATACGAATGTTGTTCGGCTGCCTAACCGTTAGGAGTCCACGCTTACAACATTATAATATGAAAGTATGCATTACCTATTTTTTTAGAAGAATGACTGCAGCCTTATCAGAAAAGTATACTCGATAATTTGAATTTCCATTTCCCCCATTGTTGTTGTATCTGATGAGGTGGAGAGAGAAAATTACAAATACTCAGGTTGTGGACGGCAAAAACACTTCACTAGCTAACCAAGGCTCGATTTGGAATATTTTTCATCACGAGCGTCTCTAAAAGACTATACTCTGCAGAGGTGAATCAAGCCTGGACATTCTCTCTTAATTCGTCAATCAAATCTCAAGTGATTAGCTTTTTTTTTTTTCATGTCAGACAGAAAAAGAGAGGTCAGTTTCATCATTTTGAGCTTTCTTGCGGGAGGTGCATTCTTGAAAAGCAACACTCTGAGTTTTAATTCTCCTGTGTTTATATGTCCTGTTTTCTTAAGATTTTTTCACCCTCCACAATCAATCTTCACAATTTCTATTTACTTAATTTTTTATGTTGTTGCTCTTGCTATTAGACAAGCACATATTGGAAAGTTAAACTTAAAAACAGCTAAACAACACTTTCCAATCATCATATTATAGAAAATGCCAAATATCATTTAGATAATGAACTAAGTCAGTAATTTACTCCCCATAGTTAATAAAGTTCTACCCACATATTCAATATACTAAAAAACCGACGAGTTATAATACGAAACGAGAACGGGACTCCTAACACGATGCTTTCCATCATCCCACACGAGCGAACCCGACAAATAGTTCACTTTCGGCGGCAACTTCCCTTTCAAAGTCACGGCAAACAAAGCCTTCTGATAAGCCCGGTCAAAATTCAGCACGTTAGGGTTGACTTCGATCGACAGCCCCTCGGGTGAATTGACTTCCGCCTTATATGTTGACTTTCCAAACCCAACATTAGTCACCTCTCGATAGTACACTTCCGAAAATCCAGACTCTGGATCGGGCACTTGATAATATATCGAGGGATAATTCAACCCATCCGCGCCTTTCGCTTGTGGGATTTTCGAACAATTATAGCTTTTGCTACCGGTCAAAAGAATAATATCGTTGCTCGTGTAGCCTTGCTTGCAAAGCAAGCTTAAATAGTAGATTATGTCCATGTCGTATACAAGGCCCGGGTGAAGTGCTTGAGTCGGGTTGAGTTCACCCGAGCCAGTTGCTAACTCAACCTCCACCGGTTTCACCTTGAACAATGTTGCTGCATGTAAAANCAAGCAAAAATTAGCTTTTCAAATTTTGGGCTCTGGCCCAATTGAGGCCCAATGAAAGAACAAGAAGGTTGCTTACAAGTGGTCATTAGAGCCGATTTAATGGCGGCCGGAGACCAACTCGGATGGTAGGTTTTGACATAGGCAGCGGCACCCGAGACATGTGGCGTAGCCATCGAAGTTCCGGAGAATACCGTGTAGTTAACGAACCGATTATCACTCGGCGAGTCCATTAGGGAGATTAGTTTCGTGTAACCGGCAAGTATGTCGACTCCAGGGGCCGAA